TCAGCCAGTTCTCAATCCACCTCACTGTCCACTCATCTAACCCACACTTCCTAAGCTTATCTGTGAGGATGTGATGGGACAGTGTCAAAAGCCTTGCTGAAGTCGAGGTAGACAACATCCACTGCTCTCTCCTCATCTACCCAGCCAGTTGTGCCATCATAGAAGGCTATCAGGTTGGTCAAGCATGACTTCTCCCTGGTCAGTCCATGTTGACCACTCCCGATAACCTCTTCCTCCACATGCTTAGGGGTGACATTCAGAATGAGCTGTTCCATCATTTTTCCAGGGATGGAGGTGAGGCTGACTGGTCTGTAGTTTCCCAGGCCTTCCTTCTTGCCCTTTTTGAAGATTAGGGTGACATTGGCTTTCCTCCAGTCCGCAGACACCTCTCCTGTTCTCTAGGACCTTTCAAAGATGATGGAGAGCAGCTTAGCAATAGCATCTGCCAGCTCCCTCAGCACTTGTTCGTGCATCCCATTTGGGCCCATGGATTTGTGGGTGCCCAGGTTGCCTAAATGATCTCTTAACCCAATCCTCCTTGACCAGATGAAAGTCTTCCTTTCTCCAGACTTCTCCGATCTCCAGGGTCTGGGATTCCTGAGGACCAGCCTTGGCAGTAAAGACTGAGGCGAAGAAGGCATTCAGTAACTCTGCCTTCTCCGTACCCTCTGTCACCAAGGCACCCCCCTCATTCAGCAGTTGGCTCACATTTCCTCTGGTCTTCCTTTTGCTGTTGATGTACTTGAAGAAGCCCTTTTTGTTGTCCTTGAATTCCCTTGCCAGATTTAATTCCAAGTGGGCCTTAACGTTGCTTGTTGCATCCCTGCATACTCTGACAATGCTTCTATATTCCTTCCAAGTGGCTAGTTCCTTTTTCCATACGCTGTAAACATCCTTCTTCCCTTTGAGTTTTTCCAGAAACTCCTTGCTCATCCATGCAGGTCTCCTGCCTTCTTTCCTTGATTTCTTACTTGTAGGGATGCACTGATCTTGAGCTTGGAAGAAGGGGTGCTGGAATATTAACCAGCTCTCTTGGGTCCCCCTAACTTCTAGAGCCCTAACCCATGGGATTCCTCCAAGTAGGTCTTTGAAGAGGCCAAAGTTAGCTCTCCTGAAGGCCAGGGTTGCAATCCTACCTATTGCCCTGTTTCTTCCATGCAGGATCCTGAACTCTACCATCTCATGGTCACTGCAGCCAAGGCTGCCCCCAACCTTCACATCCCCAGCCAGTCTTTCTTTGTTAGCATAAGGTCCAGCAGGACACCTCTCCTCGTTGGCTTCTCCACTACATGTGTCAAAAAGTTATTATCACTGCTCTGAAGGAACCTCCTGGCCTACGTGTGCCTAGCTGTTGCCTTTCCAGCAGATATCAGGGTGGCTGAAGTCCCCCATGAGAACCAGGGCCTGTGAACGCAAGGCTACTTCCAGCTGTCTGTAGAAGGCCTCATTGACTTTATTTTCCTGATCAGGTGGCCTGTAGTAAGCACCTACAATAGTGTCACCCATATTAGCTAGCCCCTGAATTTTTACGTGTAAGCTCACGACTCATACTTCATCCCTCCCTAGGCAGAGCTCAGTACTTTCCAGGTGCTCTCTCACATAAAGAGCAACTCCCCCACCTCGCATTGCTGGCCTGTCTTTCCTAAAAAGTATGTAGCCATCCTTGACAGCATTCCAGTAACGTGAACTGTCCCACCATGTCTCTGTGACTGCAGTGAGGTCACGGCCTTGCAGGCCCACACAGATCTCTAGTTCTTCCTGTTCATTCTCCAAGACAGACTGGTAGGACAACCGCCCCTCTTGGTAGCAGCCTACACAATCTTGGGAAATGTTCAAGGACATATAGTAGAATAATTGAATTTAGAGGGAACACGCACTGTGCTTGTAAGATTATGAATGCTTTGTCAGCTGTCCAAATCTTAATACAGATACTGCAAAAAGTAGGTAAGCATACTAAGGATTTGTATATTAAAAATATGTATCAAGAATTTTCCTCAATTTAGCTTAGAGGCTTGTAGCTTTTCCACAATTTTTTTCCCCTCAAATTGTAAATTTACAGGCAAGCAGAATAGAGCCTGACTTGCTTTCCCTTGTTAAATGTTTTTATCCAACAGCCTTTCTAAATCGGTGGGTTTGCGTTTGTTTGTCTACATATATGTCTAACTGCTCTTGCTTCTGGGTCCTTTGATCAAAATGGGTGTTTTGGATAATGGTAACATGAGCATAACACTGTATTTTCAGCTAGTGCTATAGGGCTACAGTCATCTTCCTCTATTGATATTTTTAATCATTCATATCCTGGAGTTTTCTACCAAAATAGTTCGAGAGTTATTGTCTCTCCTCCTCTAAAACAGTGATAGGTATGCAGATCAAGGGAAAATGATTCAGTGTTTAAAATCCTACCTCTCAGTTTCTCATCAATCCCACAGAAAATTTCATCTGCTGAACTATTTGAAATAAACTAGTAGGTAACATAGACTTACACTTATGAAACAGCATTCATATTATTCATTAAATAATTCTTTGTTTCCCCTCCCACAGGTTACATATAGAATGTTTTAGGTGGAGAGTTGAGTGACATAATCATATATGTATAGAATTAAGCAGGGGTGTTAAATGTAATATTAATTTTCTAGATAATTAAGCAAAAGTTTCACTCCAGGGCATTGTAGCCTTCAGAGTTTTGTGCTGAAACTGGTTTTCTGCTTGGTCCCTCGCTCTTTAGCCAAAACAGAGCCGTTTTGCCACCACAAGGCTCCGTCTTTCAGCTGTTATCTCCCCTCGCAAGGTTTGTAGAAGGGAGATGCAGATACCAGCATTCTTATTCTTTCGCTGTTTTTTGCTGGATGAACAAGATTCTCAGCTCTTGTCCTTGATCCGTCCACGGCATAACAACCTTACAAGCCTGGCATTTCTCCACATCATCCACCCCATGACTATAGTCACTCAACACAAAGCCCAAAATCATGCTTTTAAAAAGTCAGTCTTGGGAGTATCCCTTATGCTGTAGTCCTTTTCCTCCTTGCCCAGTCACGCTTCTGAGACCGTCCAACCAGATGCCAGATGAATCAATACCCAGTATAACATAGCTTTAATACAAGACAACAATACACAAAACAGAATGATCACAATTATTATTATTATCATCAGTATAAATTGTAATAGGCTTTGTATCCATCCTGTTAATGAAAACCCTAAACCATGCAAAAGTTTGTTCAGCCATCCATTCTCCATGCTGTATCTAAGATCTCTACTATGAAGCATTCTGCCACATGCTTCATACAGTGTAATTGTTCATTGAGATCTCTAGTTACATTTGGTACATGGATACAACACGTGTCATTGGTCAGACTCAAATATCCACACACACCATTTTCATACAATAATAACAAGTCTGGTGTTAGCCTATTCTGTAAGGTCATCTTCGAGGTTGCCTGTAATTGTACATTTAACTGCTTCAGTCCAACACGAGTTTCATTAGCCAATGCTTCAATCTGTCCAGTGAGGTTATAGAGCATCTTTTGATTTTGGAATGCTGTCAGTTGGGATCTAAAAATCGATTCTAGAGCCCATCCTACCACAGTTCCTGTAGTAGGATGTTGCCATGGGTCTCTCGAGTCCCTTTTGATAGGTCCCCATAGGGTTGGTACAAGAGATTGTTTTCTCCAGAGGGGGCAAATTGTCAATAGTCCCTGTGCATGTTGGCATCATGGACTTCCCACCGGAACTAAGTAGGCCAGATTCCAACACTGCTAACCCACACAGTGCATCCTAAGGAGGGTATGCTAACTTCTGAACAAATTATGTTAGACTGGGTGCCATTGTTAGTCAAATAAGACCAAGTGTCATCGATTGGGGCGGTATAGCTAGGACAAATACAACCCAGTTGGAGGGCTTGGGCTATCAGGCTCAATCTCTGAATTTCAGCTTCATTGCTGTCGCAATTATAAACTTTGGTGCAATTCCAATTATGGTGTTTTGGGCTATCTGAGCAGGAGACATTAAA